TCACGTGTCTCAATCCGTTGCTGATCGATCTAACTTGACCGAGTCGATCCAACCGCGAGCCGCTGTTTTTCGAGCTCGTTTCGCATTAACTCGCGGAATCGAGCCGCGGTGTTCGCCGAAAGCGGCCGAAAATTTCAGTTTGGATTAAATCTGATCGCGGCCGGATGTACGTACGTTCGCGGCTCGAATAACGATCCGATTGTTGTCGATGGGCCACGTAGGAAATTACCACGCTCTACTCCCTCGCGGCTTTTTATCTTTCCAGGTAATCCCGCGATAATCCGAAAGAATAATCGTCCGGCCGATAAATATCCTGTACCGTTGCGCCTTTGCTACTCTACGAGCCGGAGCTCGTTGCTCGATCGCCCGATTTCTCTGTCCAGGCGAGAAACAGTTTTTCGATTCAATTAAGATATTCCCCGAGCGGGTGAATTGTCGCGATAAACGCGTGGGCAAGACGGAAGGCGCGGGCTATCCATTCAACGGTGCGCTAATGGCGCCTCGTTTTTCTTGTAATGACGCACGATAAGCTCTTTATTGGAGGCACGTAAGCGTCGCTTACGTGAACGTGCGCGTATCTCGACACGGGGAGAGGAAAATGGAAAAGAAAAAAGAAAAAAAAAGGAAGAACGAACCGGAATATACCTGCTCGGTTGACGCGTTTCGCCTGTCGCTAAATTATCGCGTTTTTTCTTTCGTTTTGCTCTTTTGGTTGAAATTAAGCCGGTGAAAATGTCAGCGAAAGAAAAAAAAAAAAAGAAGAGAGAGAAAGAAACGAAGCGGGAGACGATGAAGCGCGAGCGTTGAACGTTGGCGCACGTATGTATGTATGTATGTATGTATTTTGCGCGAGATATTTGGATTAAAAAGCGTGGCAGCCAACAGGTTGCGATGCGCCGATAAGGGCTCAAACGGTTACCAAGCCGGAGTCACTGGCTGCTGAAGTGTTTGCATTTACGTACGTTACGTACACACGTACGTACCGAACAGCTTCGTTAGAAAGTGACATGCTGTCTGTCAATTTCGATGAAAGCGTTACTCACATCGGCTGAATAAAAATCATCTCAAACCTCTTCATAGATCATTGCCTGCGCAACGTGTCTGCCTGCGTCGATACAGCTACCGCACGCACGAGATATGCATACATATGTACATTGTATATCGGTTCCAAACGAAAACCGTGGCGAATCGTGATCGCAACGACTCGCTTCGTTACGACGAATTCGTAATCACGAATCGAAACCTCTTCGAACGAACAGATAACGCTCGAGTAGAGTTGCAGCTTCGATGCAGCCCGCGATCAGGCGAACGTATCTCACAGCGAGAGACGCGTCGATCTCTTCCCTCGCGTAAACGTCAACTCGTATCGGCCCATCAAGACGGATTACCCTCATTTCGTTTTATTTCCTCTCTCTCTCTCTCTCTCTCTCTCTCTCTCTCTCTCTCTCTCTCTCTTTCTCTCGCTGTTGGATCGCGAGTCCGAGCGGTACTTTGTCAGAGGAAGATACGGCTCTCGTCTCGAGGAAATTCGGGGACAACGTGCGCGCTGCCGCCGCCGGTCTTTGGAGCAGCTGGTGCGAACGACGCTCGGGAAAAAACGTCACGAAGCTGTACGATGGCATGAGAAGACTGCTCTGCTCTCCTCTCGTTCTTATATTCGCAGGAATAACGCATGTTATACAGGGTGGGGCGGAATTCGTAGTACAACCGAGCAAGGAGTGAGTCTACGTCGAAAAATAAGGAGAAAATTTGGTATAACATTTTTTTATCTGGGGCTCGATTTTCGAGAAAATCGACTTTAGAACTAAAGTTTGTTCATCTTTGAAGAATGAACGATTTAGTTGTCACATTACTTATTGTGTGGTTAAAGCAGTGCAAAGTCACAAAGTTACAAAAAGAAAATCTAGATTTTTTTTTTTATGGAGGCGTGTCAAAGAACAAGTTTATAGAGACAATATTTCAAATATTACACATTCGAAGCAAGAGATTAACGGAGGAATTCGAGAGATTAAAAAACGACATCAGCTTACATTCTGTTCAGGTATCGTTAATTCGTCGAGCAAACATATGTATGCAGCAACGAGGAGGACGTTTTCAACAATACTTGTAATAGCGTACTGTATCGTAGTATCGCAATAGAAAGTAGTAACAAGGAGTAAAAAATTAATTATCAGTAGGAACACTTTGTACTGCTTTAACCACACAATAAATAATGCTTGTAAACATTATCTCGGGCGGAGACAACCGACTAAATCGTTCGCAAAGATGGACAAACTTTACAGCCGATTTTCTCGAAAACCGAGCCCCAGATAAAGAAAATGTCATACCAAACTTTTTTCTTATTTTTCGGCGTAGAATGCTCGGTTATACCACGAATTACCCACCCTGTATGTCTACCCTTTCTGAGAAGGCTACAATCGACGTACGTACGCCATATGGAAAAAAATTATAATGGCCCCCGCTGTTCGTGAAGATCGTCACCGCGCTCGATCAAAGTCCATCGAACAACTGCTTCACGATTGCAACTCTTTCTTCCATTCCTTTTTCTCCACGTTGGAGAACAAAAGATGATAATCCAATGATAATCGATTCGACGATCATTTTCTGCTTGATAACACGTGGACGGGACATTTTGCGTGCCCGCGTTCGCGTGCAAAAGTGATGCAAAAACTCCACTCGAGGGAAGGTCCGACGGACAAAGAGGTCCGAGATTGCAAAGTTTCGCGGACGCGTGAGGTACGAGGGTAGTTTGGCACCGCCACGGTGCCGTTAAACATTGTTACGCGGCTGGAAACAAAAACCTCGAGGGGGTGGAGGGGAGGGGAGACGACGATATCATCGAAATTTCAGCGATATTTAACGGGGCTGAATGCTCTCTCTCTCTCTCTCTCTCTCTCTCTCCTCCCGGGCTGCGTTGTTGAAAGTGTAATGAAGGTAATTGCGAAAGTTTATGAAAGGAGCGGCGACCTCGATGGTTAATAAGTTATCAGTGAATTTCGATATCGAGGAGCCACTCCGTTGAATACTAAGGGAAATTACGAGGTAAACGGCACCGCGGGCTTTCGCGTTCTTTCGCGATTAAAGCCCCGGTTCGCCGCGTCGCCGTGGTCACTTTGGAAAATTCTTGATCTCGTTTTCCCCGGTGTCTCCTCTTTAAGTATAAATAAGAACGTTGCTCGGGTAACCTATTTAAAAGCACTTGGTCATACTTCACCGAGGCAACACCAGGTGAAGATTCCCCGCTAGTTGGGACATTTTCGGCTGGTTTATTCGTTTAACCTTTCTCCAAATATACTTTTTCTCTTTATTCTTCTTGTAACATACAGTTGCAATTGTTTTCCACGTCGTTTGATTTTCTGATGATCGTTGACCTATCCTCGATCGTCCAAAAATCCCTCGTCGCGAGAATCCGCCATGGCAATCCGGCTTGGAAAAATCAGTTCTTTTTTTTTTTACATTTTCTCAAAGTATATTGCTTTCGAAAATGTAAAAGGATTTGTTTGAATTCGTAAAATTAGCAAAGTTATGGATGTTTAAAGGAAACGGTGTACTGCTCGCAACGTACATAAGTATGAATATTTTTGTACAACCGGTAACAAAAACTTCAAAGAGAAATATTTTATTCTATAATATTATTATTTATTTTTATATTTTATGATATTTTATTATTATGATTTTTATGATGTTTTTTGTACTGCTCGATTGATTGAAAATATGAATATTTTTGCACAACGGGTAACAAGAACTTCAAATGTGTTTTTCTCGAAAAATATTTTACTTTATAACATTATTATTTATTTTTATATTATTATTATTTTATAATATTTTATTTTTTGCACTGCTCGATTGACTGTGAGCATGAATATTTTTGTACAACGGGTAACAAAAACTTCAAATGTGTTTTTCTCGAGAAAACATTTTATTTTATAATATTTATTTTTGTATTATTATTATTTTATAATATTTTATTTTCTGTACTGTTCGATTGATTGTAAATATGAATATTTTTGTACAACGGGTAACAGAAACATCAAATGTGTTTCTCTCAAATCCATATTTTTTAAACTGTCTCACGTTTTAGTTGACTGATCGACTTGAAATTTAGAGGAGGTCTTCACCTTTATCGTATGAACCAAGGATTTCTAAATCTGATGTTTTTTTCTATTTCTTTTTTTTTTTTACCACCCAAATGACGAAAAGCAGAAGAAAAATCGATACTTTAACTTCAAAATGCTGCCATGTTCTTAATTTTCGAAATTTCGCGATGGCCATATTTATACTAATTAAGATGCATTTCGACCAGAATCACGTCAGCCATTCGAACATGCTTTACCTAAGGCTATTTAATTCCCACAACTTTCACTAATCTCGTTAAAAGTGAAATTGTAAATGCTCTTTAAGTACGAATAAATCTGCGCGCGAAAACTGCATACCAAAATGTATCGTGGTTTCCTTAGAAAAAAAAATCCCCAAGAGAGTCGATTTTTTTAAGCCGGATTACCAGAATATCCCTCTTAATTGCAACGACGCACGCTATCAGCTCTTATCGTTTACCAGCCAAGGGCAAGATGTGCCGAAAACAGTACGAAACGGAAGCAAGAAACAGGGAAACAAATAGAGCGGGCCAAACCGCTTAGAGGTGGCCAAAGTCTCTTAAGCAAGTGCGCGTGTAATCGAGTGTTCGTTCGTGTGATTTCAGAGTCTCTGCCGGACGCCTTGGAAAGCGACTGCGAAAAGTGCAGCGAGAAGCAGAAAACAGGCAGCGAGAAGGTCATCCGGTTCTTGATTAATAAGGTACGTTCACCGGCGGCGGCGTTCGCCGTCGCTTTTCCGCGGCTAATTGAACATAAAATGCGCCAGTCACTTGGTCGATTTGTCGATCTGCTCCCGAATGTCGTAGAACCGGTTCCACTTTCACCGGACGACGTTGCCTTTGATCCTTGGACCCGCGCGAAAACACTCGTCCGAACAAATTCCCTGAGAATTGAAATCCCTCCATCTCCCTCGTGATTTATCTCTCGTGACGACCCCCGGATTTCTTCGTCTGATAATCGTTAACCTAGGCCCCGGGACATTCGGGTAACTCGCTTTGCATCAAACTTCGTCGCGCTCCACTCCGGAAACTTTATCGCCGTTATATTTACCCTACTTACAGAGAGCACTATAATTGAACCGGCAATGAACGAGGAATTGCCGATGATTTCAATTGTTGTTCACTTCGCAAAGAACACCTCGGTGTGTTATTTTAAAATATTGTTCCGTGACTTGGACTTCAACTTTGGAAATTAAAAACGTCAAACTTGCTGCGCGATTCTTTTTTCATCGGTCACCATTTTCATTGAAACTTTGAACTGGACGAAATGAATTTCTGTTTAATCAAATGACGACGAAGAATTGTCTAGTCGCGGAAAAAATTTTTCAACTGTTTGGATCTTTATAATTTTCGAGAAAATAGCATCTTAAGATTGTCACGAATTTAAAAGGAAACCAAGGAAAGTGTTTGAATCGTCGATCATTTCTCATCCTGACTGATTGCTCCTCGTTGCACATCTCCTTGCGCTATCGTCTTCGAACATCTTCTTCGACGAGTTAGAATCTCCGCCGGTTGAGATTCTAATTTAAAAAAGAAAAAGTTGTTTGGAACGTGATAAAGGAACACGGACAGAAAGAAAATATGATGTATCTCACAGTGGGGGCTGGTGCGCTCCGGTTTACGAAAGTCGAGCAACGAACGATTTAACTCCCGCAGTCTTATCTTCGCTGGCAACTTTTAATTGAATCTACAACCACCGCCTCGTCTCGACGTTCTTGTCCTTCCGCTTCGTTGACAGAGTCGCGATTAATTTTGTTACAATGGAACGCGGCTGGAAAATGTAGCGCTCGTCAAACGCGGTTGCCCGCCAGTTTTGTCGCGGCGACAGCCCGGTGAATCGACGCGCTCGCGCGTTCCAAAGATTATCCAAAAGTAGTTGAATTTCCTGATGTTTGCGTTTCAGCGGCCGATGTTGTGGGAAAGGCTGGCAAAGAAGTACGACCCGACCGGCGAGTACAAGATCAAATTCCAGGACACGGCGAAGGAAGCTGGAATCAAAATATAAGTAGTTTCACGATGTGAAATTCACGTTCACGAAGATGTCGAGACAGGGGACAGAGGATGATTCGTCGGTTCCTCCGCTGGTACATCTTACTCTGCAGAAGACTATACTACTTTCCACTTTTCTCTGTTTTCCTTTTAATCTTGTATTCATTTAGAACATTACGAAATAAACGTTGCATCTCTGCGTAGAATCAGAACAGCTGACGGAGAAATTGAAGAGAGACTGTGTGTATGTGTGTGCGCGCGTGTGTGTGTGGAGAAATTGAAAAGGATGGATGAACGGTGAGACTAATTCGTTGGTAGCTACGGGACGAATGAGAAACCCAGAAGAGAGAGACTGTGTACGTGTGTGTTCTCGAGGATTTGACAAGCACCGGTAAGGAAAATAATGAAGAATTCGTCGGGAAATAAAGAAGGTACGTCGTCATCTCGAGCCTTTGTCATCGTGCCTCCCACTTTTCTTTTCCAGCCCCTTCTATTGTGTGACCGATGGAACGCTTCGCGTTCGAAATAATCAAGTTCATCGATCGTGCTGTGGTCGACCGACGAGAAGTAAACCGATGAATTTAATATGAAATTGGAAAAACCGAGCGGGATGAATCCGTAGATTCGTATGCGGATCCACTCTTCTCGCTGCTTTCACGGAAATTTTCAGCCAACTGTCGCGACACGTACGAGCTTCCCCGATGTTGTTGTCGAGGAGAGGTCGTCCTCCCCGCGTTTTCCACTGAAAGTTGAATTACGAATTCGCCGATGAGTTAGAAACGTCACGATCCTCGACGCAGCCAGTCGCAAGTGACTCACGGTATATCCTCACGATCGACCGCGGAAACGTCTGTAGCCGGCTTCCCGAGATAAAGGGCGTCGTGGAATGAAAAGTGGGACACGTGCCAGTCGTGGAACACGGGAATCTCGACTTACAAGTGGCTCGTCTCTTCGAGATTCCGCTGCGAAAATTTCGTTTTTCGAGCGTGTTTGTCGCTTTGATTCCATTTCGAAATTTTTGCGACGTCGCGTCGCAAATTGTGCGTGACAGGTGGGTGGGCGGATCTTTGTTGAAAGATGTCGGATGAAATAGGTGGGCTTTATGTCCTCCGCGTAGGCAGGTACGTACGTTCATGCCGTTTCTCGGTTTTATTGAAGAATAAACTCTGGCGAACGGTAAACTCCTTACACGCCGAGGTAAGTCGCGCGGAATACGTGGATACGTCGCGTTTCTGCACGTCGACCGAATCATTATTTTGCATTATTATATTAAACTGAAACGTTCGACGAAATTTCTCTCCACGCGTCGTCGATTCGCTCACTGTAGAGCAGATCAACAATTTTGTTCCCGGCGCCTGGTTCTCCTTCGACCAAACAGAAAGTAGCCCAACGATCGATTCCTCTGTATGTATGTATATGTTTCTTTCAGCCTCTTTGGCCTTGAAATCGGCCTTTGGTTTTTACATTTAGTTACTCTGAAACATTGCACATTTTTCTTATTGCATTTATCATAAATTTCTCTAATACATTTTATAACATACTTTGCTTTACCCTATACTATATATTGTATACTAGATACTAGATACTGTATACTGTATACTAGATACTGTATACTGTATACTAAACTAAATAGATAGTAGATACTAGATATTGTATACTGTATATTAGATACTAGATACTGTATACTGTATACTAGATACTAGACATTGTATACTGTATACTAGATACTAGGTACTGTATACTGTATATACTGTGTACTGTATACTAGATACTGTATACTGTATATACTGTGTACTGTATATATTGTGTACTCTATATACTGTGTACTGTATATAATGTATACTGTATATATTGTGTACTCTATATACTGTGTACTGTATATACTGTGTACTGTATACTGTATATACTGTGTTCTGTATACTGTATATACTGTGTACTGTATACTGTATATACTGTGTTCTGTATACTGTATATATTGTGTACTGTATACTGTATATTGTATATATTGTATATTCTATACTGTATATACTGTATACTGTATACTAGTTACTACATACTACATACTGTATACTGTTTACTGTATACTGTATACTAGATACTACATACTACATACTGTATACTGTATACTAGATACTACATACTACATACTGTATATTGTATACTAGATACTACATACTAGATATTACATATTACATACTGTATACTGTATACTAGATACTACATACTACATACTGTATACTGTATACTACATACTGTGTACTAGATACTACATATTACATACTGTATTCTAGATACTGCATACTGTATATTGTATATTGTTTACTGTATACTCTATACTAGATACTACATACTAGATACTGTATACTATATTTATCATAATTATGCTATGTTTTTCCCTACGTTAATATCTTAACCTAATTCTCTCACGTTACTCTGTGTTTTTATACTGAATTTGTTGCTTTCTTCTTTCTAAGACCTCGTTAGCTCTTCTTCTCCCTCTTCCTCTGTCTTTCTTTATCTTTCTTTCTTCTTTCTATTCGTCTGAGCCAGTTTACCACTTCTTTCCCGCCTTCTTCACTCAGTGAATCTCTTCCAGACTTGCATTTATTGTCTTCATCTGTCTATAAACTCTCCAATGTTGTAGTATTCCTTCTCTTTCCTCGCACAGCTGACATCTCCGTTCTTCCTCGTTCGCTCAGAATTTACCTCCATTTTCTAAAGTGCCGGATCGACTCCTCTGTTTCCCGGCGAATCGTTGAACGGACGAAAAAGTTTCGTTTCGATCGGATACTTTGCCTCTTCCTGTTTAGTCGGAAGGCGATACGGCCGAGAGGCGGTTTGCTAGTATCATAAAATTCCGCCGTCTTTTTGTCGCGAAAATTGAATTAGCCCCGGCCGGGGGCGAGGGATGTTCTCCCTCTTGTTGGCCTGAATTTTTCCACGAGCTAACAGAAACGACTACTTACCGAGGTAGTTTCGGCTCGTTAGTCGGCGAACAAGGATCGTGAAAGTTGCACGAAGGTGTCGGGGATCGGAGCGGAGGAGCGTGCACGTGCTCGGTGAATATTTAAAGAAAAAGGTCGCGATCGCGATCGGGAAAATGGTCCTGAACTGGAGCCGAACTCCGTACGAATAAGTTTCCGCGACGTTTGTACAGTACTCACTGGCTCCCAATCATTTATTTGTAGCCGCGATAAATCCAGCCGGCGGGGAAAAGTTCGACTCGGGCGAAGTTTCGAGCCCGAAAACGCCGCCCTTGAGACCGTTCGCTTAATTTCCTGTTACGCTGTTCGGCCGCGAAATTATCCTTCGCCATGATTTCTCCGGGACTTTGAAAAAACAATACTCTCTCTTTCTTTTTTTCCCCACCTTTTTTTTTTTCGCGAATTTGCTTTCGAAATGAGAAAGAATCGCCGACGTTCTCACGTTCTTGTCTTTCTTCTTTTCTGCAAAATAATCAGGAAATCTTTCCAAACACTCATCCTTGACATTTCGTCGAAGGATTATTTTCTTTTTTTATCGTTATGCGCTTCAATTTTCGAGCTCGAGAAACGTAAGAGGCGATTCAAAATTCGAAAACGAAATTCATTCGAGGGGAAGGAATTATCAGGTCGATCGAGTTGGCGGATTCGCGAGCCAGCTATCTGAAATCTTTCTACGGTAAAGAGGCAGTATCTGCTAATTATACGCTCGTGTTTCTCTCTCGCGTCAAGTCCCTCCTCCCCGTCAAAGAGATCGAGAGAATAATATTTTATTTATTAACATCTCGTTCCGTTCCGCTCTTTCCTTTGAACTCGTCACCTCTACTACTGTTGGCTCTCTCGTCGTTGCTTTGCCGCTTTTAAAAGGAAAAAGAAACTCCCGCTTTGTGACTCCGTTTTTTATTTTAATTAGATACTCAAGCTCGTCCGCGTGTTTCACGAGAGCAAAGCAACGAGAGAGATCACGTATCTATCGTTCTAGAAATGCGTGGAAATTACGGTCGGAAGTTTCGTGTTGATTCCCGTTTGAAACGAACAATTTCAAGGATTGTCTGCCGTGTGTGTCTGGATCCAAGATCCTTGGCCGAGCAAGCCCACGTTCGTCGAGGGTCTGGATGGAAGCGACGCGTGATGACGTCGATTCTCACGGGCCGTGTTATCGCGAGTTAACGCAGGGTAATAGCCGGAAAATAAAATATTTGACAGTCGTGGAATGGGATTCCCGTGTAGGAGGCGGACTCCGAGCTATTACGAGGAGAGCGGAGATCCCGTAAATAGTCCCAGCTCTCTTGGCCTTGTCCGACCGACGGAGGACACCACTTTTATTTCGGCCACCGCAGAACTGTTCGAATTTTCTTACTCCTACCACGGTGAAACATCGCTCCGGGGGAAGGAAAAACTTTACTCCCGCGGTCGCCTTTGTTGGACTAATAAAACTTCAAGAGCCTCGTGATAAATTAACTCTCCTCTCCTCTTTTCTGTCTTTTCCATCTTTCTCTCGCCCTCTCGTCTCATCGTCGTTTCGTACTTTTTTCCCTATCCTTTATTCGCGCGTATTCGATTCATTCTCTCTCTCTCTCCGCGACTTTGTCACGACTTTTTCCCTCCCCCACTTAACGAAGATGCTCCGGGCCGTTTCGAATCGAGCGCGTGGGTCCTAAATCATTTCGAGTGCACGAAACTTGCCCAAGTTTCGAGAGGCAAGGTTAATGCGAATTTAACGAAGTAGATCGTACGAAGTTCCCAAGGTTCGAAATACGTTCGTGGCAAGAAGCGAGGCTGGACTGGGCTCGCTCGCAACGAAACTGCGGACGACCACCCTCGCCATTCTGGCAGTCTCGGAAGGCGACCGACGAACCCGGGGACTTCAATAACGCATTACACGGTCGCCTAGGGGAAAGCAATTTTTGCTGAAATCAATATTTGCAGAGTCATCTATGCTTGCTCGCAGCCTGTAGCAACATGTACGATTAAATTGCTCGAAAGCTCACGTGCCACAGAATCGAATGCCCGCCTCTCCTTCCTAACGTCTGCTCCTTCGTACGTTCTTTCCTTTTCTTCCATTTTTCTTCTTTTCCTCGATCTTTTTTCTCGTCGCATTCAAATTAACGCTCGAGAACGAATTCGTCCGTACGAATTATTCCAATAAAGGTCGTGACAGTCGAGTAAAATCCTCCTCGAGAGGCACTTCATTCGCGTATTCGCGTGTGTCTACGAAGTTTTTCACTGCG